ATGTTAGAATGTCGGATATTGACATTAAACAAGTGTCAAAGTGTCAAATACCCTAATGAGGTAAACGTATGTAACAGTAATCCCTATCAGCAAAAAGCTCATCAGACAGTTACAACCTTGCCAACATGTTTTTCTACTTAGTTAGTTTCTCAGTCATCGATTTCTTTATATGGTTATCTGCTCCAGGCAGAGCATGCCCACAAAGTACAGTCTGTTATCTGACTGCTCTGCTGAAGTTTTTTTTTGTCTCACAGAGAGTGCTTTTTTGGTTAAAGTAAAGTTACATATGTTCTGTTTTTTCCTCTGATGTCTTCTCTATCTGGGATATACAGAGTTGACTGATGGACATGTTAGCCTGACTTGTTGCGATCCGCTAACCGCTAACTGCTGCTAATTGCTAATGGACTGGGAGCTCGAGACAACTGCGCTCCCGGCGTTCCATAGTGTCATGGACCCGCCCCTGTCTGTGTCTCTCTGTCTTTGTGTATGATTGAGGCTGGGATTTTCCTTCCTGTCCCTTTTGCATGACATTATTAGAGCTGTAAATTTATTTGGTTAATTCAACTCAACTAATATGTTTGGGATGGAAATGCCATTTAAAGGTTAAATATTTAGGATAATCTGTTGGCAGGAAAGGACTATAATATTTGTCTTGAACTAGACTAGAACAAATAGATTCAAGAACAGCTTCTTCCCAAAACCAACAACCACTCTGAACTCTCACATGCACTGCTCTTAGTTCAACCACCCCAAACCCCGGACTCTCTTCAGTCACTATTAAACACTGTACTGTGCAATACCATTCAATGTGCAATATTCCACACCATAATGGGCAATATATATATAATATATAATGCGCAATATATATATATTACACTGTATATAGCACCGTATTTATTTGCAAATGTACACACTCCTCACGTCCCTTTGTTGTAATTATTACTTCATGACATGTCCTGTGTTTATATTGTGTATATATTTTGGAAATGTACACACTCCTCAGGACGGCACACCATACCTCCCTTTTTTGTATTATCTCTTCATGTCCTATGTTTATATTGTATATACTTTGATAATTGTACTGTTTTTTTGCACTGCCATTGGAGTTGGCTATTTAATCTCATCATACATGTGTACAGTGATAATAAAGGCATGCTATTCTATTCTTGTTTCTCCTTTGCACTTGGAAGGGGAGGGTGAGCAAGGGAAACACTGGACCTTAAAAAGTTTGAAAAATACAGGAAAATGTATTTTGAAGAATAAAACCTCGGCTAGACTCCTGCTCCTGTATTATTGTACCATGAAAAGAGAGGAATTTGGGCTGGTGATTTGGATGACTGATGCTGCCTCCAGGCTTGTGTGTGTGGAACAGCAGCCAGGGTGACAAGGAGAGTGAGGAAGAAAGATACAGACTGAAGGAGGTTTAAAAAAAAAAATCTGGGGAAGACGGAAAAACGCAGGACAGACAATATAAGTCCTGTCTTGTTCACAAATGGTGTTGCTTTATTTTCACAATTAATTATCCACAAAATGTACATATTTATAGAACATATTTATTAATGCACATCTATGATACTATGCAGAATAATGTTCTGTTCCCACCAAAGGTGAAACAAGTATTCACCTCGCGTTACTTGCACAAATATCACTCAAAGGATCATTTATATTTGATGTAATCTGTCTTACAACGGTGATGTGAGCCTAAAATAAACGGATAAAAAAAGGATGCCGAAGTAACTACATTATGATGCCGATTTGGGTTTCTGTGCAAGATGACAAGCAAACAACTTTTAAAATGTTTGTTTTCTGAATGGAGTTCCGATCGACCACGGCTATTCTAGCTTAGTTCATAGTAAAGTAAAACCGACAGCTGGAATCAAGTAACACACACATATTTTCAGCAATCACCAGGTAGTCCATTTTCCTCTCTTAATTTTCCCTAAGCAATCTCCTTTTCTGTCCACTCTCTGTATAAATATGAAGTAGTAGACAGGCTCTCCACTTGCCAGTAAACATCTACAGATCAGAACAGGACCCGATGTGACTAAGGGTTTTTATTCCTCCAGAAGTTCCAGCTCTGCCCCCAGATTTCTTCTGCAGAGCTCCCTGGGCTCAAGCAGCTGTCTGTGGGTCAGCAGCCCTGTTCCTCTGCTCCTTCCCACACAAAACTCGAAACACCAGTGATATGTGCGACTTTTTTGCTCGAAGTTCAATATTTTCAACTCAACTCACCATTCGTCGGGCGCAAATTTTCGTCTATTTGCATCTTTGTATTGACTTTGTATGTAATCTACTTGCTCCAAGACTTTGATTCCCCTTGGTGGGAACGCAGCATAAGAGTAAGAGTTTTGTGGGCCTCAATAAATAAATACTAAGGTCAATCCTGACTCTGGACAGTCTGTACTATTTAAGGTTAATGCTATGGAACCTAAGCACAAACATACTCCATAGTACCTAATTTTCCATTTCCCTTCCTGTCTCGTCTATTTATTTTGTCGTGGCTTATGCCTTTAATGCAACCAGTGGGAACGCCTGCCACACAGATTCTGGAGAAGCAAAGAAGTCAAACTCTATTCATTATTATTAACTATTCAGTTTCTTGTGTGCAATAGTGTCAGCTGGACCAGCTGTTGAAAGTGTTAGGTAATGATATATTAACAGGCACTGCTATGTTCAGTCAGTCACATTTTTTGAACAGCATTAGTTTTTCTGCACTCCTAAAGAGGAGGGAGCAGCAAACTGCTCACCTGAAGACTTTTTTTTTTTTTTACATTTCCCTTTTAAAAGTGATTTTTTTTAGGAATTATAGTAAAGCTGGAACCTTGTACATACAATTGTTAAAGTACTTTGCTGCTCAGCTGAGCCAGGCGTTGCTGGTTGTGGATGAGTGGAAGCAGAGAACATCAGTATTCAAATCTCTGGAAAGGAGAAATGAAAGACAAACAACTTAAAAAATTACTGATCTAAAAAAACAAAAATAAAGTAAAATAATCTTTGTGGGCCTGATGGCAAAGGACAAATTCAGTGTTTTTCTTAATCTCTATCCTTTACCTTGTCTTTGTCGCACCAAAAAGCTAGAGGAGAGGAAAGACACATGCTATCAAAAATGATTGGAAGAGAAAATCCTATCATTTGATTGTCTGAGAGATTGCCTCCCCCCACTTCCACATGCCCAACACCCGATTTTAGGAACTTCTCTCTGGAAAAATAGACTGAAACAAGTACTCTAGTGAGGGGAGGCAATCTGGTACTAGAGATGTCATTAAAGGGCACCTAAGAGCAAACGATTGAGCAGAGAGTGCTTCCCTGGAGAGCCGGTGTGGAGTCTGTTCTTTCACTGAGATTCCCTCTTAACACCCCTCTTTATCCTTCTTTCTACCTTACTTCAGTCAAAAATGTAATGTCTTCACAGATTTAACAAATGCATTTTAGTAGCATTATAGCACCCCTTAAGACTGTATCTCTTAGAGATCTCTTCTTGCTGGAGAGAAAACTCCTCACTTAACACTTAACTTTCTGTTAATCAAACTTGCAGAATAAACATCCTGAACTTAATGAGTTATAAGTACTTCTTATCTTGTAAAGACACATTTGCCCACAAAAAAGGACACATAACAAACAAAAACCCAGTAAATTATCTAATAATTTACAGAAATCATCAAATTCTGACCCTGGCTTTTTATTACTGTGAATACACAGATTGCCGGAATATCTCGTCAATGGCGAAAGTATTCTGTCTTAAATTATGGAAAATCTTGTTAACAATGAAACTTATTCTTTACTAAAGTTTAAAATAATGTCCAAATATACATCACCAACATCAATTTCCAATTGCGTGTGATAATTCCTGTGTAATAGCGTTTCCAAATGGTAACTGAGCTTTTGACCAGGGACCAGATGGTGTGTACATTAACCATATCACACACCATTTTATTACTGTCCCCTCTTCTAACAAGAGGTTAAGTACTCAGAGAGAGCAGTCACTCTAGAGTGTGTCCCTTATGGCAGACTGTCAGGCAGTCTGTGGCCAGAATAATGTCTGACTGACTTAACTGCTCTCTAACAAGGTACTGTGTCAAAGTGTCACAAGGAAATTGAGGTTATTATTATTATGTGGCTGGGCACTCACAATATGAACAGGAATCACATGTGACCAACTGTATGCAAAGAGCAGAATCTACAAAGATATTTGTTGGAAAGCAAATGCAACATACACAAAAAGACCAATTCAAGCATTAAGACACATCAGACCTACAGTAGGCAAGTCAGGTCAGCAGACTGTGGCATCATTACAAATACAGGCCTGACCTACTTTAAGTTCCTTTTATAGTGAGCATGTGGCTTGTCACTATAGAAATGCACCAATACACACATACATGCAGAGACGGACATGTAATGCAAGGAAGAGGAATAAACAGAAACAGGAAATTAGTTAAGAAAGAGTGTACATGAGAGGGATCGAATAAGGGGAATGAAAAGAGGGAATGGCAGTTAGGATATAAGTGTGTGTAGAAACACATGGGATAATAGAGAAGGTCAGGCAGCAGCAGCATTGACAGAGCAGAGGGAGAGCTGGGGAATTTTGCAGCTTAAATAGACCGCCAGATTTGGAAGGATGTGGTTGGTTTTAGATTATGGAGAGTGATGCATGTCATGGGTGTATAGCAGTGTAGCTTGAGTTGACTGCCTGAATTAGCTTGCAGGTGTTGCTCCATTTGTTGTGATTTGTAACAGATATATTTCTTCTCATATGTCTGAAGCCATGTACTGTATGTAGTTGTGCCAACTTTGACCCGAACAGACTCACAGTGTGCCATTTGAAAAAGTAAACAGCAACATCACATCTGATCCAGCAAAAACAATATACTTATATATATATTTGAAGAGGGTGGATAAAAAGGTCCAACCTATTGACCAGGATAATCCTTAATCAAACAGTTGTCAATCACGCTCTGTAAAAGAGTATAAAAGAACACATACATATGTACACCTACAAGACAACAGATGCTACCACGGTGCTTGAGAGATTCCAGGTAGGCCTTGGGTAGAAATACTGATCAACTGTATTTTTACTTTACTGTCAACCATATCTAATTTTTTGTTGGTAAAAAAGCTTGATAATGACAAGATTTAATCACATAATAAATACGTTGATAAAAACAATGAGAATGGCTTATATTAAAGTTTTGTAATTGGTTATTATATGGTTTCAAATTTGAGTGTAATAAGCAGTTTGAAAAGGACAGAATATTGGATTGCATTCATCAAAGGTGAGAAAAATAAGATCAGACTGAGAATGAGGATGTGCAACACAATGAAAGGTTGATAAAATACCTACTGTTCCCAGCAATGGTGCTAAAATATTGATTTAATTTTCTTACACATATTTCATGCATAGTAATAATCTTTGTTGTATCTGGGTTATACCTTGTTAGTCTTGATATTTATAAAGAATAGCTTGCTGAAATTCTGCTTTGCATGTTCCAGCAAAAAGAAAGAGAAAAAAAAAACAACAACTTGTATTTATAATGTTGTATGGTACACAATAACAATACATACTGATACTCAAGTGATACTATTTTGAAAAACCTTTGCAATAATACTAGTATAATAACTTAAATAATGTCTTCAAGTAATTAAATTAGTCTAACTTGTATAAAAAAACAACATATATTTGGGTATTGTATATGTATATGTGTGTGCGTAAATTATGCATGTCTTGAAATCAAGATATAATAACACAACAGTCTTCCATGTACATTTGGTTAATGTTCTACACAGGATGATGACTCTAGCTGTGGTAATTGTCTTGGCTGTTTTAGGACGGACAAGTGGTCTTTTTGGTGAGATTTTTCTAATTATTTGTTCAATTTAGTTGTTGACATTTCCCTAATGAAGTCTAATTTTAGTATTTGATAACCTAAAAAATAATGTAAATACATCAATAATATTTTTTATTTAAACAACAAAATTAAAAACAAAATCATGCATGCTTAAAATAAATGTGCCTCTTGTAGCATGTTGATATGCAGACAAACATTTTTTCTTTGTATAGATAAAAGTTGTTTTTACAGTAGTCACAGTGACAGTTAAATCAATTATACTGATGGTCGTTTCTTTCGCAGATTTGGTAAAATAAAAACAAATAATTCTGTGTCTTCCTCAAACTATCTTTAATACCAAGTTTTGTAACTTTGTCCAGATACAAATATTGCCAGATTTGGAAAAGTCACTCAGTCCTCCCTGTATGGGAATGCTGTCCCAGAAAGGGCCATTGATGGAAATCGTGCTAGCAACTGGGGACAGGGATCCTGTACCCACACAAAGCAAGATAAAAATCCATGGTGGAGCCTGGACCTCCTGAAGACTTATAAAATCAACACTGTTACCATCACCAACAGAAGAGATTGTTGCTACAAAAGGATCAACGGTGCTGAGATCCGCATAGGAAATTCTCTCAATAACAATGGCAACGATAATCCCAGGTAACAGCCCCATCTGTCTTATATTTGGTGTGGCAATTAACATTGGTTGTTGTGTAACTTACCAGAAAATGTGTGGTCTAGATATACTTTCCAAACAGAAACATACTTTTCACCACAATATGATGATCAGTATCACAATACAACTATTGGTGAGATACATACATAGAGTTTGTCTGGCAACATGTACTCATAATTATGTTTTCTTTTTCTTCAGATGCACTGTGATCTCATCTATATCACCTGGGACCTCCAAAACCTTTAAGTGTCATGGAATGGAAGGCCGTTATGTAAGCATCGTGATCCCTGGAAGACGTGAATACCTGACACTGTGTGAGGTGGAAGTCACCGGTAACCCTTCAAGTAACATTGCTCCAATTGGTAAGTTGTACCAAATAAAGTGTCTAATAGATGACATTGAGGTAATATTCAGATGAGATGTTTCATCAGATATCCTCACTGCCTGTTCTTTGATCAGGTTAACACACGTAATATTTCTGTGCCTGCCTCAAAATACCTTTTATAACAGATTTTGTAACTTTTTCCAGATACAAATATTGCTAGATTTGGAAAAGTCACTCAGTCCTCCCTGTATGGGAATGCTGTCCCAGAAAGGGCCATTGATGGAAATCGTGCTAGCAACTGGGGACAGGGATCCTGTACCCACACAAAGCAAGATAAAAATCCATGGTGGAGCCTGGACCTCCTGAAGACTTATAAAATCAACACTGTTACCATCACCAACAGAAGAGATTGTTGCTCCAAAAGGATCAACGGTGCTGAGATCCGCATAGGAAATTCTCTCAATAACAATGGCAACGATAATCCCAGGTAACAGCCCTATCTGTCTTATATTTGGTGTGGCAATTAACATTGGTTGTTGTGTAACTTACCAGAAAATGTGTGGTCTAGATATACTTTCCAAACAGAAACATACTTTTCACCACAATATGATGATCAGTATCACAATACAACTATTGGTGAGATACATACATAGAGTTTGTCTGGCAACATGTACTCATAATTATGTTTTCTTTTTCTTCAGATGCACTGTGATCTCATCTGTATCACCTGGGACCTCCAAAACCTTTAAGTGTAATGGAATGGAAGGCCGTTATGTAAGCATCGTGATCCCTGGAAGAAGTGAATACCTGACACTGTGTGAGGTGGAAGTCACTGGTAACCCTTCAAGTAACATTGCTCCAATTGGTAAGTTGTACCAAATAAAGTGTCTAATAGATGACATTGAGGTAATATTCAGATGAGATGTTTCATCAGATATCCTCACTGCCTGTTCTTTGATCAGGTTAACACACGTAATATTTCTGTGCCTGCCTCAAAATACCTTTTATAACAGATTTTGTAACTTTTTCCAGATACAAATATTGCTAGATTTGGAAAAGTCACTCAGTCCTCCCTGTATGGGAATGCTGTCCCAGAAAGGGCCATTGATGGAAATCGTGCTAGCAACTGGAGACAGGGATCCTGTACCCACACAAGGCAAGATAAAAATCCATGGTGGAGCCTGGACCTCCTGAAGACTTATAAAATCAACACTGTTACCATCACCAACAGAAGAGATTGTTGCTACAAAAGGATCAACGGTGCTGAGATTCGCATAGGAAATTCTCTCAATAACAATGGCAACGATAATCCCAGGTAACAGCCCCATCTGTCTTATATTTGGTTTGGCAATTAACATTGGTTGTTGTGTAACTTACCAGAAAATGTGTGGTCTAGATATTCTTTCCAAACAGAAACATACTTTTCACCACAATATGATGATCAGTATCTCAATACAGCTATTGGTGAGATACATACACAGAGTTTGTCTGGCAACATGTACTCATAATTATGTTTTCTTTTTCTTCAGATGCACTGTGATCTCATCTATATCACCTGGGACCTCCAAAACCTTTAAGTGTAATGGAATGGAAGGCCGTTATGTAAGCATCGTGATCCCTGGAAGACGTGAATACCTGACACTGTGTGAGGTGGAAGTCACTGGTAACCCTTCAAGTAACATTGCTCCAATTGGTAAGTTGTACCAAATAAAGTGTCTAAAAGATGACATTGAGGTAATATTCAGATGAGATGTTTCATCAGATATCCTCACTGCCTGTTCTTTGATCAGGTTAACACACGTAATATTTCTGTGCCTGCCTCAAAATACCGTTTATAACAGATTTTGTAACTTTTTCCAGATACAAATATTGCTAGATTTGGAAAAGTCACTCAGTCCTCCCTCTATGGGAATGCTGTCCCAGAAAGGGCCATTGATGGAAATCGTGCTAGCAACTGGGGACAGGGATCCTGTACCCACACAAAGCAAGATAAAAATCCATGGTGGAGCCTGGACCTCCTGAAGACTTATAAAATCAACACTGTTACCATCACCAACAGAAGAGATTGTTGCTACAAAAGGATCAACGGTGCTGAGATTCGCATAGGAAATTCTCTCAATAACAATGGCAATGATAATCCCAGGTAACAGCCCCATCTGTCTTATATTTGGTTTGGCAATTAACATTGGTTGTTGTGTAACTTACCAGAAAATGTGTGGTCTACATATACTTTCCAAACAGAAACATACTTTTCACCACAATATGATGATCAGAATTTAAATACAACTATTGGTGAGATACATACATAGAGTTTGTCTGGCAACATGTACTCATAATTATGTTTTCTTTTTCTTCAGATGCACTGTGATCTCATCTATATCACCTGGGACCTCCAAAACCTTTAAGTGTAATGGAATGGAAGGCCGTTATGTAAGCATCGTGATCCCTGGAAGACGTGAATACCTGACACTGTGTGAGGTGGAAGTCACTGGTAACCCTTCAAGTAACATTGCTCCAATTGGTAAGTTGTACCAAATAAAGTGTCTAAAAGATGACATTGAGGTAATATTCAGATGAGATGTTTCATCAGATATCCTCACTGCCTGTTCTTTGATCAGGTTAACACACGTAATATTTCTGTGCCTGCCTCAAAATACCGTTTATAACAGATTTTGTAACTTTTTCCAGATACAAATATTGCTAGATTTGGAAAAGTCACTCAGTCCTCCCTCTATGGGAATGCTGTCCCAGAAAGGGCCATTGATGGAAATCGTGCTAGCAACTGGGGACAGGGATCCTGTACCCACACAAAGCAAGATAAAAATCCATGGTGGAGCCTGGACCTCCTGAAGACTTATAAAATCAACACTGTTACCATCACCAACAGAAGAGATTGTTGCTTCAAAAGGATCAACGGTGCTGAGATCCGCATAGGAAATTCTCTCAATAACAATGGCAATGATAATCCCAGGTAACAGCCCCATCTGTCTTATATTTGGTTTGGCAATTAACATTGGTTGTTGTGTAACTTACCAGAAAATGTATGGTCTACATATACTTTCCAAACAGAAACATACTTTTCACCACAATATGATGATCAGAATTTAAATACAACTATTGGTGAGATACATACATAGAGTTTGTCTGGCAACATGTACTCATAATTATGTTTTCTTTTTCTTCAGATGCACTGTGATCTCATCTATATCACCTGGGACCTCCAAAACCTTTACGTGTAATGGAATGGAAGGCCGTTATGTAAGCATCGTGATCCCTGGAAGACGTGAATACCTGACACTGTGTGAGGTGGAAGTCTCCGGGACAGAATCAGATGATGACATTGAATATGCCTGCAACTGAGATTCCTCATACTCATGTATTCATTTCCATTGCCAATTCCTGCTTGTGTCTGATTTCTTTTCTTCAATAAAATGTCTCAATTTGAGGTCAATCACTGTTCTGTCACGTTTAATTGATGTCAGATGGAAATGGGTCTAGAATAATGTCAAATAAAGTAAATGTACTTTAAAATTTTACTCCTGTGAAGAAGATGTAGGGTAAAGAGAAAAAGACAGATAAAGATGCACAGCAACAACTATACTAGAAGAAATTACTACTAATAATGATGATGATGATGTTACCAGCAACAGCCATAACAATGGTGAATGTAATAATAATGATGCTAATAATAATATGACTAATAATAATAATGATGAATGATGAGTAATTAATAATAATGATAATAATAACAATAATATTAGCAATGGTGTTCAAGCAGGACCACAGTAGCAGGCATTGATTTGTTTACTGAAGGTATTACACAGTGAAAGTGAGAACAGTGATACCATTGACAGTATATATAATAGACAGCGCTTCCGGGTCTGAAAAGTGAAGGAAAGTCCGAAGTGTCTTAAAACCTGGATTTTATGTAAAGGCCAGCAGGGGGAGTGCCATTCACCATTGGCAGCTGGTTTGTTACAGTATCAGTCGGTTAGCTGGGGAATAAAAGGGGCAAATTCACTTAACATTCACTAAGCATTGTTTTCCCGACAACAAAAATATATTGCCTAACTATTTTGAAAGCTCCTACATTGGTGAGAAGAAGCAGTTCATCCACTCAAGACAGGTTTCAAGACACCATCCTGCAATGCTGCTCAGTCCCCAGTCTCACAGAGAAATTTCTTATTACACTCTTGCCTTTGAGATACACCCCATTTATGTTCTCGTGGGCTAATGTCAAACAGCCACCAATGTTCTTTTTTTTCCGTAGATTTTTATATTTCTTTGCTTCACCCACATCTCACCATCTCTCTTGTCTGTCCCTCCTCCTGTACCACTGTATAACTGTAGCACATATGTCAGAGATATTCTCTGGGCATTTCTACCATGAGATATGACACATCATCCATCAGTCTCACAGGCAGCTATACTTTCCAACATGGACGCTCCATCACTGGGCCACTGTCAGAGGGGATCGGTAGTTGTCCACCCCCATTTCACACACACACACACACACACACACAAATACACAAACACGCATGCGAGCACACACACAAAACACACACACACACACACACACACACACACACACACACACACACAAACACACACACACTTTTCATGCCTGCAGAGGTGTCTTGGATATAACAACTTGCTGTGGAAACCTTTCTCCAGGATAGATCAAGGCTTCATTGGGGCCAAATAAATCATCCAGTCAACGGGGGGTAGAAGAGCTGGGCTGACAGCCCCACGTCCATGCAGCCTCTGATTTTTAAAAAGTTCTGCAAGAACAGAAGGAAATTCAAGAGTATGTCATACTATGTTTTTGGAAGACGATGAATTTCAAATGTACCAAGAGCTGCTTGTGTCATTCTGGTGCCCCAGGGCAAATATTGACCGTCACCACTCTCCCCCCAAAAAAACAACCATAGAAGCAAACAGTCACAGTTGTTATCCTACTTCACTTGCAAACTTTGCTTGACATATACCCATGACTTTTAATGTTTATAAATTCACTTATTACAAATATTTTGTGTAATCAATCAAATAAAAACACACAATTGCACTTGATATATTGATGCAATGATCATTCTTTTTTTTTCATTTTGATTTCCCATATGGTTGTACAGGGGACACTAACCATTCAGTAGGTCACAATATAATTTAAACTGACAGCTGAATGAAAATGATTTATTAAGATAACATACCCTACTTTGTACTATAGCTTGATTTAACAGCCTCCCATAATAGTTTGTAGTGTCCATGCTGCTTTGCTTGATATCCAGAAAGGAGAAAGAGGAGTTTCATTTTGTAACTGTTGGCAGCGAGGATTAGACAGGATTTGGACACCCTTTTTTCATCCCAAGCATGAACAAAATCCAAATACAGTTTTCAACGAACTGCAGCACTTAGAGACATCTTATGTCAACAAATTGTTTCTGATATAGATGCAACAGCTGCCCTTTTAACTTAATTAAGAAAGAAATACTTAAAATGTGGTCTCCTGGCATGTCCATTTACGTCTACAGCCTCTTAGAAATCACCACCATTGCAGCTTACATGCACAATGTCCACCAAGGATATTAAGTAATTAAAATTCCATTAAGTAAGCAAGCCTTAGTTATCAGTTGAACCATTTGCCGTGCCCTCAGCTGTCAATGCTTGTTTTCTTGATGCTGTTTATCCTTTACAGAGTCAGTCCCATCCTACAATGCCTTTGTAGTTGACCAAGAGGGAGACGAGGTGCTTACCTTGACCCTCATCCAACATAACAGAGCATGATAGAGTAGACTTTTTTACTTTCTATAAAACATTTTGGTCATTTTGGATACAGGGGTGGGTGCAGAAGGACAACAATTTGTATGATTTTCTTTTACGAAACAGTAATTTGATGGTAAAACGTTTTTATTCCAAGTCCCTTTTATACTGACTTATTTTTCATGTGCTTAGTCATTGAACAAGAAAATTAGTAACTATAGTACTGCCCTACAAAGGCAAAATACCTAAACTTAATTTTGTAGATGCGTGCAACAACAATTATATGTATTTATCAACACAGCATGTGATAGCATGATCTTGAATGTTCCAAAAATAACAATAATCAAGGCTTTTTGCCTTTGCAGGGCAGAGCAGCTGTGGTGGTCAAGTCAGGTGGTGGTCAGACTTGTAGTGTATTCAGTACATAGCATTTGGTTGATGTGCCTTTCCATCACGTTTTCCGTCGCTTTTTTTGATCCCCTGAGTGAAGGGATGAGGTACCAGGGGAAATCTCCCATCTAACCATTAGTACTTTGTGCTCCACCTACCATTTAATCACTCTTTGGAAGACTGGACATCAACAAAATACATCTTCGTTCTGTAGCTTACGTGTTTGTGTGCACACATGTTGGTGTATGGTTTCCTTGGATGTTTGAATTAAAAATTTTTTTTACCTCCACCAAGGAGGGTATGGTTTTGGTGACGTTTGTTTATCATCTTTATCATCATTTGTTTGTCAGAAATTTTGGAGTTGCTCCAAATCACAACGCGGATACACAAATTATTTTTCATTTTCGTTATATAGGTCTATTGTAACACTGGTTTATATGGTAATATAAGCTGAAGCCATTGTAATTTAAGTGAATGGTGTGCAGGGACTCAAAAAAACACAACAGCCACCTCAAACATCACTGTAGGAACAAAACACATTGGAGGAGGTCATTTCTTTCTGTCTAGTTTATTTTGTAGTTGTTGTATATTCATTAAGTGGCTATAGGTCTGCTTGCATATGTATCTGCCTCCTTGTTCATATTTGTGGCTGCCAGTTGATTTGTGCTTCTCTGTACAATATATTGTGTGCGGTGATCACTAGACAAGTGAACCTCATACAACAAAATTTGGATCTGTCATGTTGAGCAGCACCTTTGTGGTCTGTTATGTCCATTAAATAAAGAAAAAGAAAAATCAACCTAAAAAATGTTTTCATGTTGGGTAAGAAAAGATCAGATAGAAAGTCACAAAGAGAAAGAAAGAAAGAGAGAAAGATACACAGGAGAAAGCAAGAAAGATGGTCTCTGAAGGGGTAAAGCGATCAGTCAGTTAGTCACTACGCACATTGCTAAGAAGCACTTCCATCATCTATGCTCACATACATTTGTAAACATATAGGAACGTACATTCAAACTGACACACAAGCACCCAAACACCTTTTTCACTATACACAAAATACACTGAGGAAACATGTACTCACACGCACGCATCCACAAAGCCATCAGAACAAGGTCAAGCCTGACAGCAGGCAGATGAAGAGCCACTTAGGGGACCTGTCTCTTGTCTTTATCCTGTGTCTCCCCTTCGAGAGCTATATGCTCAAAGAGCTTATTGATAGGAAATAAATGATGAAGTCATAGTAGCTTGCAATGTCAGGTGGAAGAGAAATGAACAGAATAAGTGTTAAGTTAGAGTAGAAAAGTAGAACATAATTGTGTGAAATTACAATTAATCAAAGAATTAGGGGATAATTAGTCATGCTGGGTGTCTTTGGGGGCTGTGGTCTCATCAAAGTGCCATAAACCAGCTTGAAAACTTAAGTAATCCAAGTATAAAGACATGTAATCACATCTAATGTCATGCAGAAATAATATAAAATGGAGAGTGGAAGAGGCAATAACCCAATAAATTGTATGCTAATGCATACAATGCACAAAATACAGCACAATGGAGTACAGATATCCAGATTAAGTTTGATTTAGAGAATTACACTGAAAAGAGAAAATAGAATAAATAATGTTTGACTGCAACATAAAACCCTAAATCAACCTTCCACCACACCCAAGGCACACAGTGCCCGAATAAACTCAAGCTGGAAATGAATGCTTTATATCATCAGAGCTTAGAGGAGGGATTGGAGATTCTATGTGTTCGATATTGTTGATTCTGCTCCATGGAACAGACCTATCACCTCTGAATACACTGGAGACCCACTGGTTCAGTGCAGATTATAAATATGCATGGGAATCAATACATATTTGGCAGTGGGGGAGAGAAAAATTGAGAAAAACACAGGAAGAGAGCAGAGGCCCTGGAATGTTCATCTTCATTTATTACAGTCATTTATTCTCTTTCTCTCTCTTCCCTTTGCTACGCATGTACACAAACTCACTTCCCTGCCCATGCATACACACACACACACACACACACACACACACACACACACACACACACACACACACACACTGGCAAAGACACACATATGAATGCACAGCAAGAGAGAGGAAGAGAAAGAATATGTCCAGATCGGCAAATTATCCATTCTTTTCTCTCCGACCATCCCTGTGGGGTTGTGCAGTGTGTAATAGCGAGCGCACTCCTCTGACGATTAGCCAGACTGTATATTTGTCATTTCAGGTCCATAAGGGAGGCCAGGGAGCAGTCTGAGACACAAGTTCATTCATCTATTGACTTTCATTGTGT